CGCCCGAATGGGCAGGTCAATGCCCGAAGGGGCACCGTAGGCAGTGCGTATGGTGCTGTACGACACTGTTTTCCCTGTATATGTTTGTGCAGCAGCTCCAGACCGCATAGCCATCAGGCTGAAGGCTGGCAAGCTGTGCTTGTGTCTGCTGAGTGTTGAGCAGTTGGCCTGGACCGTGGACTGTTTAGGTAACTTGTCAGGTTATTGTGAGTAACAGCTGTGGCCTGTATATGACTGCCCATCAGACTTCTGTGAGCAACGGCTGGCAGGTTCTAGAGTACTGCCAGCTCGTCCATCAGGATAAGCTTTCCAAGCCTTTATAAGGCATTGCTGTCTGTGTGTGTGTGTTACATGGTTGGGGGTGCGTGACCCCATACCTGTAAGACTACCCATACGAGCCGAAGGCCCAAGGGCAATACTACAACGCCTAAAGGCCACGGAGAAAAGGAAAAACACCGCACATCAGCCCAGACTAGCGTCCAAAGGGGGTAATTGAGTTTCGGTGAGCCCACATACGTTCCAACATCCTCGCCAGACGTGCGGGTTCACATTGCATGGCCTCCAACATACTCTGTTGATGATCGAGTCCCTCTTCAGCACGAATATCATAATAGGCTGGGCATTCCAATAACACGTGTTTTTCATCCTCAATTCGGCTATTAGTTCCACAACAGTGGCAAAACCGCTGCCCCCTGGGGACATGGTACTTGCCCCTTCGTGCTCTGTTTGCCTCCAAAGCCCAGCAACATAAACGAAACTACATTAGCTTACGATTTGCTAAATAAACGAGGAATGAAAACCTTAGCATGTGTTGGCCACATGACGGCTGCGGCTCCCGAAAAGGGCAGCCCCATCCAGTGCTTATACTTCGCCATTTGCACTCCCGGTTGCTTCCAATCTGATGGGTACTCCTCTGGCAAGACAGTCAGATGCGTATGGTCCCAGCCACTCATCAAACGCTCTCTTAGTGCCGTTATTATCGCTCCTTCTGGTAGAGGTCTACTCAACAACCAGTCAACACGCTCCTTTACCCCCATGACTAACATTGAGATTCCCCAACCCTCCCATTCCGGGTTGGTCAGGGCATCGGTTATCTCCTGCCGTAAAACTGCATGAGCAGTGGATCCCACTTGCTTTTGAAGGCAGTTCCAGAAACGGAGAATCTGCTTCACCATGTAATATTGTAAGGGGAGTTCAGCCAGCTCCGCGTACAACAGCCTGTGGGATGGCCGTGCCGTCCCCACTACCTGCCTCATGAATAAAATCTGCAGCTGGACTGCACTATCCTTCAAACGGGCTTCGAACATGCCCTCCGCAAGGTTGGCTTTATCCCGCCGCCTTCCTGCCCTGTCCACGACCTCTGCCAGCGCAAAAGGGCCCCACGCCTGGCAGCCATACAACAGAATTGCTCGGACTTGGGTTGCAAAACACCGCATTCGCACATCGGGGGCAAACAGCTTCATTTTGTCCAGCTTTGCGCTTAAGGAAAACATAGCGGACCGACCTGTATCACACAACTGCTGACGGCACGCACTAAAAGGCCGTTCTGGCCCATATACCAAGCCCAGATAGCGAGCGCTATCTTTGGCAGGTACTACCTGGCCTGATAGCAGTA